CTACACACGTGCTGCTAAATCTTTGTTTCAGTACTGCTTAGACCTGAAGAAGGGGGACATTTCCCGAAATCTTGTGCCCTCCGAATTGTATGTTAGTGCAAATAAAAAAAAAAGTATCACGGACAGTGCACAATTGTTCTTGTTTACAAGGCCAAACTAAAGCCAGCTCACTAGATTTCTTTTATCTGTATTGTATTATAAACAAACTAAAAAATCCCAGCGCCAATCAAAGAAAGTATACAATTATGCAGCTGTGCACCAGTGAAAACCACCAATAATGAATAACACAAAAAACAGTGCAAAAATTAAATAAATAAAAATAATCACAAATAAATAAATGTCCGTGCAAAGTTATATATATATATATACAGTCATGGCCGAAATTGTTGGCACCCTTGATATTTTTCCTGAAAATCAAGTATATCACACAAAAAAGGTATTGCAATTAACACAAGTTGTTTTGCTATACACATGTTTAATTCCCTTTGTATGTATTGGAACAAATATAAAACAGAGGCAGAAAGCAAATATGACATAATGTCACACCTCAAAACCCCAAAAAGGGCTGGACAAAAGTATTAGGCACCCTTAACTAAACTTAATATTTGGTTGCACACCCGTTTGGAAAACATAACTGAAATCAGTCGCTTCCTATAACCATCAATAAGCTTCTGACACCTCTCACCCGGAATTTTTGGACCACTCTTCCTTTGCAACAGCTCCAGGTCTCTCTTATTGGAAGGACACCTTTTCCCAACAGCAATTTTAAGATCTCTCCACAGGTGTTCAATGGGATTTAGATTGTATGGTCTTGGGCTCATTGCTGTGCCACTTCAGAACTCTCCACAGCGCTTCTTTGCCATCCATTTCTGAGTGCTTTTTTGACGATATGTTTTGGGTCATTGTCCTGCTGGAAGACCCAGGATCTGGACGCAAACCCAGCTTTCTGACACTGGGCCCTACTGTGCGACCAAAAATTCATTTGGTTAATCCTCAGATTTCATGATGCCTTGCACACAGTCAAGGCACCCAGTGCCAGTAGGCAGCAAAACTAACCCCAAACATCATTGACAACTCCACCATATTTTTACCGTAGGGTACTGTGTTTTTGTTCTTTGTAGGCCTCATTCCGTTTTCGGTAAACAGTAGAATGATGTGCTTTACCGAAAAGCTCTAATTCTTGGTCTCATCTGTCCACAAGACGTTTCCCAGGCTTTGGCTTACTCAAGTACATTTTGGCAAAACTGTAGTCTTGCTTTTTATGTCTCTCTGTGTCAGCAGTTGGGGTCCTCCTGGGTCTCCTTCCATAGCGTTTCATTTCATTTAAATAGGCGACGGATAGTTTCGCGCTGACACTGATGCTCCTGAGCCTGCAGACAGCTTGAATGTCTTAGGAACAGATTGGGCTGCTTATCCACCATCCGGACTATTCTGCGGTTGCAATCTTTCATCAATTTTCTCATCCGTCCACACTACCAGGGAGATTAGCTACAGTGCCATGGGTTGCAAACTTCTTGATAATGGTGCGCACTGTGGACAAAGCAAATCTAGTTTCTCTGGAGAATGGACTTGTAACCTTGAGATTGTTGATATTTGCCACAATTTTGGTTCTCAGGTCCTCAGACAGTTCTCGTCTCCTCTTTCTGTTGTCCATGCTTAGTGTGGGCACAGACAGGACACACAATGCAAAGGTTTAAGTGAAACGTCTCTCCATTTTATCTGCTTTTCAGGTGTGATTTCTATATTGCCCACACCTGTTACTTGCCCCAGGTGAGTTACAGGAGCATCACTATGCTTGTAACATTTCTTATTTATCCGCAGTTGTGAAAGGTGCCCCAAAAAAAAAATACTTTGGGTTATTTGTCCCAGCCCATTTTTGGAGGTTTGTGTGACATTATGTCGAATTTGCTTTCTTTCCCTCCCTTTTTTGTTTTGTCCCAATACACACAAAAAGGGAATAAACATTGGTGTAAAGCAAAACATGTGTTAATGCAATACGTTTCGTGAGAAATACATGATTTCAGAAAAATATCAAGGGTGCCAACAATTTCGTGCCATGACTGTAAATTATATATATATATATGGTATTTATAAAATATTTCAAACATAAGTCCTTATTTACCACCCCCCAAAGGATTTCAATGACAAGGTTCCAAAATGTGCTTCCACCTAATCACCACGTGAAAAAATAATATTGACCGCACTCACCCAGATGGAGGTTGAGTAATAAGCCTCCTAGGATATAAAGGATTCCTATATCCCCTCAGGAGGAACTCAAATCGCCTTCTTCACCCTGCTTAGATACAGCAAGCGATTCACTCTCTACTTCTCCATGGAATCCTCAATAAGTGTGCAAGGAAATGAAAAAGCTACATAGTGTAATACTGCCACTCAATACCATATAAATCGAATATAAAAAAAGGACACTCACAATGTTTCAATAAAATAACAGGCCTTGTTTAATAGCCTCAAGGCTTCAAAGGAACAAGGTTTCAAATTGTAAATTATAGGATCTCACGCTTTAAGAACCACTGTAGAAGATGACCAGCTTTCCACTCTAAAATGGCCGCAATTGAACCTCAAAAGTCGGCGTGCGTTCCAAATACCGGAAAGTGACGTATGCTAAGATGACGGCAGACCGAAGTGCGTTTGATTCCAAACTCTGCCTACTGACACACATCCAACGGGTTTACTGACTGACACCATCCACTGTCTACTGACACTAGCCTCTGCCCTACTGACATGTCCACTGTTCTAAAGACACCATCCACTGCTTTAAAGACAGTCCTCCATGTCTTCATATATTCCTTCATCGTTACCTATAAATGCTACCAACACCTCCCCCTCACTCCCCCTCTCTGTTAGGGGTCCCTCAAGCTCTGTCCTCGGGCCCCTTCTCTTCTCCATCTATACCCTCCTCCTTGCTAACTCATACACTCTCACGGCTTCAACTACCACCTCTATGCCGACGACCACACAAATCGATCTCTCAACCCCCCACCCTCACCCCTTGGTCTCAGTCCGAATTCACACACCTACTGAGCGACATATCAGACTGGATGTCGCTCCACTTCCTTAAATTGAACCTCTCCAAAACGAGTTCTTGTCTTCCCCCCAGCCCGGACACCACCCCCCATTGATTTCTCCATCACATCCAACAACGCTACCATCAAACCCGCCCTGCAGCCAAAGTACTCGGGTGTCATTCTGACTCCAACCTATCCTTCCAGCCCCAAGTCCAATCTTTAACAAACTCGTGCAGACTCCACCTCCGCAACATCGCCAAAATCCGCACGTTCCTAACCCCAGAAACCACTAAACAGCTCATCCACTCCCTCATCATATCACGACTCGACTACTGCAACTCCCTCCTCACTGGCCTGCCTCGCCGCTGGCTATCCCCTCTTCAGTCCATCCTGAACACGGCTGCCAGACTCATTCACCTTTCCAACCGCACTGTCTCCGCCACCCCCACCCCCTCTGCCAATCCCTCCACTGCTTCCGATTGCGCAACGGATCAAAATTCAAGATCCTAACGCTGACGTACAAAGCCGTCCACCACACTGCCCCGAACTACATCACTGACCTAATATCCAAGTACCGCCCCCAGCACGCACACTCCGCTCCTCACAAGACCTCCTTCTCTATAGTTCCCTGGTCTCCTCCTCCCATGCCCGCCTCCAGGACTTCTCCATTGTTGTTTGTTTACGTGTGTGAGTGTGTGTTTGGGTATATATATATATTATATATATATATATATATATATATATATGTGTGTGGGTGTGTGTGTGAGTGAGGGGGGGTGTGTTTGTTTGAGCTTTGGGGTGCACACCCTAATGTGATAGGCCATGCACACCTATGGCTGGCATTAGGTGGCCCTATTGCCAGAATCAATTCTGTACATACTATAAAACTTCCAATTACCACTCAAGTATAGCTATAATTCTTTCAAACTATAATCCATATTTTCAACACACATGTTTCCCTCTTATTTTGACACTTTTATGTGCTGTTGAGACTATTAGCTCTTTCTACCTACATTCTTCTAGTTCTTGCAGTGTCATTCACAGAGGGTAAGATAAATCACACTTCTTTCCCCCAGCTCTCTCTTTCTCCCAGAGATTTTCAGACAAAATCCCAGAGACCCAGTAGTCTAGGTCTACATCTGTCCTCAGATGGGGGTGATATAGAAGACAACTGAATTCTAATCTAAAATCTATGGGCCAGTTCCAGTTTGGGTGTACTAAATATAAACCTGTAGGAACAAATAACAAAAAAAAAAAACTATGTTGTACAGTGCAAGATGTCAAACTATTTTTTATCGCTTTGAAGGCAAAAGGTAAAATTACCTGGTGGATTCTAATGGCAATACAGAAATGTTCTATATTTTCTAAATGTCACACAAAAATGTTGACTAATATAAGGCAAACCCATCACGTCATCATATAAAGCAAAATAACCCTGGTGCTACACTGTACATTTAGGGGACATTTTTTATCAAAGACATGATTGCCAGCTTCATCTAGTGGCCATAATGCAGTCTTTTCCTGACTGTGGTATTTTAAACCACTTGCCCTCCAGAGGATTTACCCGCCTTCCTGACCAGGCCATTTTTTTGCGATACAGAACTTTAACTGACAATTGCGCAGTCATGCAACGTTGTACATAAATGAAATGTATGTCCTTTTTTCCCACGAATAGAGCTTTCTTTCAGTGGTATTTGATCACCTCTGTTTTTTTTTATTTTTGCACTATAAAAAAAAAAAGACCGATAATTTTGAAAAAAAAACAATATTGTCGACCTTTTTGCTATTAAACATGTCCAATAAAAACATTTAAAAAAAATCAAATTTCATCATAAATTTAGGCCAAAATTTATTCTGCTGCAAAAAACCCAATACATGTAAATCACTTGTTTTATGTGAAAGCTATAGTGTCTACTGGCGGTATATGTACTTTTTTATTTTATTTACCTTTTTTTATACTAGTAATGGCAGTGATCAGCGACTTATAGCAAGGCTGTGGGACTGCGGTGGGCATTCTAACACTGGGTGGGAACTGACTGACATCCCCAGTGACACTATTACAGTGATCAGTGCTAATAAAAAAGCACTGACACTGTATTAATGACACTGGGCAGGAAGGGGTTAACATCTGGGGTGATCAAAGGGTCCACTGTGTGCTGTATGTGTTTTACTATGTGTACTGTATGTGTTTTTACCTTGGAGACATGCTGTTTTGTATTTCTCTGCTGTGCAGAGAAATACAAAACAGCATGTCCTTGCTGGCAGGATAGAGACCTTTGTTGTTTACATACAGGTCTCTCTCCTGTCAGTTTTGCACAGCGAATGCCAGGTGCTGGTGGGGAATCTACTTCTGGGACCCAGTGACTGACATGCCTAGCCTCCAATGATGGCGCGGGTAGGGCGGCGCGCATGCACACTCCCTACCCGGAAATGTAAATCACATATATATATATATATATATATATATATATATATATATATATATATATATATATAATATGATTTTGCGCAGCCCTGCCGCCCTCTAGCAGTGTTCTATTATAGGGGGGCGGGAAACGGTTAAGGAAAATACCATGTTATGGCTACTAGATGGTGCTGATGATCACGAGAAATCCACATATTAGTCACATTACAGGATTATTTGCAATGGTTGTGCAAATATGTCCAGAGTTTGTTTTTTTTTAATTAGATCCCTTAGTGTTTTGCTTGCCATTGCACTATGCCACGGTAGCTCCACACAAAATACTCAAACTTCCAGATATGGAACAAATGAGTAAGCTCCCTTCTTTATCCAATAGAGCAGTGGATGGTGCTTAAGTGACTAATTACAGAGCCAAAGCATTGTCACACGGGGGGAGGGGATATGCTTAGGCATTTATAAATCTTCAGAAAGTCATTGTTTGCATATAATCTTTGGAAGGTTGCAGTGGCAATTTGTGTTGGTGGATGGGAACATTAAAGGTATGCTGCTGCAGCCACAGCCGTGTCTGCTATACATTAAAAAAATCAAATGTCTTCATAAATTTAGGCCAAAAATGTATTCTGCTACATGTCTTTACTAAAAAAAATTCCCAATATATGAAAGTTATAGTCTCTACAAATGGAGGTATATATATTGGGTTTTTCTTTTTTTATACTAGTAATGGCAATGATCAGCGAATTATAGCGGGACTGCGTTGCACATGTGTTCTGACTCTGGGTGGGAAATGACTATCTGCCACTGACACTAATACAGTGATCAGTGCTAATAAAAAGCACTGAAACTGTATTAATGACACTAGGCAGGAAGGGGTTAGCATCTGGGGTGATCAAAGGGTTAACTGTGTGCTGTATGTGTTTTACTATGTGTGCTGTGTGTGTTTCTCTGCTGTGGGGCAATCAAAGGGTTAACTGTCTGCTGTGTGTGTATTATCTTGGAGACATGCTGTTTTGTATTTCTCTGCTGTGTAAGAGAGATACAAAGCAGCGTGTCCTTGCTGGCAGGAGAGAGACCTGTGTTGTTTACATACAGTTCTCTCCCCTGTCAGCTTTCCGCAACAACGATCGCCAGGTGCCGGCAAGGAATTTAAGGCCGGGAAGCAGTGATTGACATCCTAAGCCGCCAATGGCGGCACGGGCAGGGTGGCGTGCATATGCGCTCCCTACATGGAGATACAAATCACCTATATATACGTGATTTCGTGCAGCCCTGCCACCTTGTACCAGTACTTCTACAATAGGGTGGCGGGCAAGCGGTTAAGTATTATTCATGCACAGTACAGTGTAGAGGTGCTAAATGCCTTAGCATTATTCGTTTAGTCAAGCCAGACTATCCTTCGAGGCTTCCATAAGTATTGTTAGCATTATACACTATGCCTGAACCTCTGAGAAAATCCATCTCACTTTAAAGTCAGATACTTTAGCTTTTTATTTATAGGTGTCCCTGATATTTTTCTTGTTTGCAGTGCAAGTGTATCTTGGGACAAGCTTTTGAATAAATGTTATTTTTAAATATATAAAGAAAGAAAACAACATGTCTCCCATGGAGGACACTTTGCTAATATTGATTTGTAAAAAGCTGACAGCTGCTCTGAGTCAATAAACAAGTGCTGTGTTCATTGTACAACTAGCTTTACATGTTTGTAGGTCTCTTTTTTTCTGTTTTAGAAAAGCACCGATAATGTGCAGAGAAATGTGTGCCTTTTGGAAGGACTTTCAAACTACAAAAGTGTTAGTTTTTGAAAACTCTTTTTATATGTGCATTTTGCACAAGAACTGAAACAATTGAAGATTCAGGGCCACGGGAAATAATATGTAGTAAATGGTACTAAACTGCACTGTATGGTGTAGTAATGGGCCTAAATCTTTAACTTTTTTATTACTTATGGGTCAGCAAGCTAGCAGGGTTTCCAACCCATCAAATCCTATTTTACTGCAAAGAATAGTAAAACATACTGAACAAATGCCTTTTTTTTTACTAACAATGTCATAGTTAAACTACATGTGAAGGTTAAAATACCATCAACAAGTAAACTGCCTTCCTATATAGATGAAAGCTCAGTGGCTGAGCCTACTCTTCGTGTATACTTCTCACATGTTCCAAAGTCCTGGTACCCACTAAATACTACCAGTCGACACACATCCAACTCCTCCTGCGCTCAGGGACCCAGATCAGAAGAAGGCCAATCGAATAAAATGATAAATGTTCATCCAGCACTGATCAAAGGTTGTGCGGCTCTAACACGAAGCTGGGGAAGCTCAATATAGACTGTAGTAGAGAACAAAAAACAAAGCGCACCAACCTTGTGCATTACCTCAGTAAGCAATTCATAAATTTATTGATAAATTATACTCACAAGAGTAGCAGTAAAAAAGGCATATAACATCCAAAACCAAACACAGGGTAAGGAGAGACGTGCAAGTTCCATCCGGAAGGGAGATAAACTCTTGGTCAAGCTGACGCATTTCGAAGGGGGCTCTGAGGAAGAAGGGGTCCCCCTTCGAGACACGTCAGCTTGACCAAGAGTTTATCTCCCTTCTGGATGGAACTTGCACATGTCCTCCTAACCCTGTGCATCGTATAATTTATCGATAAATTTATGAATTGCTTACTAAGGTAATGTGCAAGGTCGGTGCGCTTTGTTTTTTGTTCTCTACTCACTAAAAACTCCTTAATTATGTTGCCGCATGCAACAGGTTTATACCTTTTCTCATCAGTAGTATATAGCAGTCTTTTGACTTCAATCAGTGTCCGTCGAGCACTGGTTAATCTTGCAAGAGGTGTTCTCATTCTCCTCTGTCTGTCCTACTGTATGGGCTGCCTATCCCCTCAATTCCAGTACTGATTGGCCCTGTGCCAATCACATTGACCCCCCCCCCCCCCCCAAAAAAAAAAAAAAAAAACTTTCTAGCAATACACACCAAACAGTGCATGTGCAGACTTGCACTGCTGCTCTGTACTGGCAGATGGATTGGGGACAGTAAAAAAAAGAGGAGGATCAGGGAAGGCAGGATCAAACAGCCTTTTTACACAATGTGGAGTATTAACCCCTTAGGTTCCACAGTGAGTATATCAAGCATGCTTTACTGCATATACAGACTGATTTTATTGTTCTGGGTTTCGTAACACTTTAAGGAAGAACTTTAAACCTACATAGCAACCAGCCACTGATTACACAACAGCTTGGTCAGAACTTATAATAATAATGTACAACACATCATACAAAATACAGTGGTTAGGAATGTGTAACCATGTTCCTTAGGTTAGCGTGACCAGATTTTCCAAATTAAATCAGGGGACACCCAATAAGCCATGCCCACAAAACCAAACCCAATTTTTAAGTGCCCTCAAACTACTGGGGACAAGCTTTTCAAAGAATAGGCAAACATTAGGGACCTTGCACACCACCAGCTCCCTTGGCAGAAAAAAAAAGCTCATATAGAGCTTTTTTGTACAGGCGTTTAGCAATTTTTCTGCCAGAAAACTAATTTCAAAAACACGATCCAGAAGAGTTTTTTTTCTCTGAGCTTAAAATATACCTCTAAACATCATAATGTGCGTGGACACATAGGGGGTCACTTACTAAAACTGGAAAGGGCAAAATCTGGAGCAGCTCTGCATAGAAACCAATCAGCTTCCAGGTTTTATTGCCAAAGCTTAATTAAAGTTAGAAGCTGATTGGCCGCAATACACCAGATTCTGAGTGTTCCAGTTTTAGTAAATCTAACCCATAGGATAAACATTGAGCTGCTTCTACAGGCAAAATGCAAAACTCATGTATAAGTAGCGTTTTTTTAAGCCCAGTGTGCGTAGACCCTGATCATGTGACAGCGAATCACGACGATCACATGACCCTAAAACCTCGCCCTGCCTCCCAAATGTTGGAACCCTTAAAGGGTCAGGAGGCTCTGGTTCCAAAGGGGTTAACATATATACTTTTGTTTTTTGTTTTTTTTTTCTTGACGTTGGACTTGTTAATTTATATCACTTTTATGTTTTTTCATGTTAGTATCACAGTCGGAATATTGTTCATCTGATAAGTATGTTTAGCGCCATACCTTATTTTATTATATGGTCACAAGTGATTTTCCACTCCAAGGGGCAGCTAACATCTTTTGTATTATTTTTTTATTTTGTTGGCACACTAAATGGTTGAGTATTTATTGATATTTTATTGTACAGAATACACACTGTTTGTGTAAGGCAGTATATATCACTTTTTTACATGTAAAGAGAAGGCACTTAGTTTCTCACTAAATTGTTATTGCCACTTATACAATTTAATTTTTTGCAGATCAAGCACCTGTGAGGTTATGGCTTCTTTTTATGTGTTTCTTTCATGCTACAAGGAGATTTAATAAAAATGCTACATTAATATATCCTGATTTTTGACGAGTCGACCAGAGTGAAGAAAAACTAGAGCTGATATGGAAGAATTGGTAGCATTTTTTAAATCAGGAACTGGTCATACATTCAAGGCATCAACATATGTGTTGGTCTATGTGAAAAACAAAGCAAAAAAAAATTTGTAATACCCCCGTTGCCCCGCACACTGGCACAAAGTCAACCGCACAGCCGGGGTGCAGTTGTGTATGTATACCGCTATCGTACAACACATGTGAGGTATTACCGTGAATATCAGAGTGAAAGAAATATTTGTACACACCAGAACTCAGCTCCAAACAGAGTTACCTCTAAACTGATGAGCTGTAAAGGCTTTTAAAGAGTTGCCTATGGAGAATTTTGTGTTATCACAGCAAACACAATTTTAGGACTTGGCATGTTTGGTATCTACAGTATGGAAGCAACACCATATTTTATATTTTACTGAAATAAAAAATTGGGGTATTATATTGTGTTTGTGTGCACTAAAATTCATTTTATTGTACTAACAGTTACGCAAATATTGTTTGCAACAAAAAAAATTGCAACTACTATATTTTTTATTCTACAAAGCCACTGTTTTAAGAAAAATACCATGTTTTGGGGGCTTTAAGTAAATTTAAAGTCAGAAATGCAGATTTTTACATGTATGCAAAAATTTTAAAATTGCTCTAGTGTCTAACTGGTTAAACCATCTCACAGAGAAGGAAAATCTGCTTTTGGACACATTTACATTACATGCAATGCTGCACAAAGTCACATGTACATTACTAACAATTCTATCACCCATAGATATGATAATATAGACAGGATGTCTAGATAAATCTATGGTGGCTCTCTGAAGCTAAAAAAGAAGCCCTGTATAACAAGTATAACTATAGGTTAAGAAGAAGAAAACACAATTGGACATTTCCACAGGACTCACTGATATAGGGTATGAGTTATGGTGTAAGCAGGGGCTGCCAATACTATTCCCTTTGTGAACTTGTAATTAAACAAAAATACTCGGAATAGAATACTTTTCAGATTAATTAATTTTTTTAAGAATGTTTCAGTTGTTGGACAGGTTCCCATGGAACCGAGTACATTTTAAGCAAACTTTTTTTTTCACAATGAGAACTGCTTTAATAATAGAAATTAATAATCTTGAATTTTTAAAGTTCAGGCATCATTCATAATGGAGCAAATGTGTTCAACTGGTGCATTGCTCCCCAGTAAACAATTATTTCTGAAATGTTTAACAAGTCCACGTGCAATAATTGTGATTTTGGAAAGTGTGCAAAGACTTCATTTTGCATTCCAATAGGTAGTTGTTAAGGGGCATCAAAAATGTGGACAAAGTCATAACTTATAAGCCCAATTGGCCTTTATTCGGAAAACCCACTATAAAAATGGAATCTTCCTGGAGGGAACATTCACCCGATTTGAAAAATCCAAGTGTATTAGGTCAAAGAGTGCCAACTGAAAAATCCTTAGAAGTCCAAATTCTTAATTGTTCAACTGATCACAACAAGCAGGTTAAAGGTCAGCTGAAGGTTTTTTCATTTGGTGCTCTCTTTGACCTATTACACTTACATGTTGCAGTAACTGGCATCATTTGTGCCAGTGCTCCACTTATCTATTTTGTGACAAGAAATTCTTTAGAAAATAAATTTCATAAGAGCGTCTCCACCAAAAAAGTTGGGCTTTTATTCTTCAGATACAGATTGCTTTATTAAAATG